CCCTACACTCCCCCATGCCACAGCTGCAGAATTTGACATCTTCCCAATGGACGGCAGTTCAGCAGCTCCTCTTGTTCCCCGAAACTCATTTCTATGCAGCCAAGCAGCTAGAGCATTTGTCTCCCTGCCATGGAAAAGCTCATCCACAGCTGCTCTTGGTTCTCCTACCTTCCCAAAAACGTTTAGTTGGACTACAGTACACAGTTCCTGCATTATTCAACACTGCTGAGATAGGGTGATGTGCTACCCAAGCGGCTACAGCCTTCCTTCTTTGATGGCACATGTCTGAAGAGGTCTTGGGAACAGAGATGAGTCACCTGAATTTGATGCTGCAGAGTGTTTTTCTCGGACTGGTGGTTTTTTTTTCCTAAGGTGATTGCAAACAACTGACAACATATATACCCGTTTTTAGATGGAAGCCATAGGTGTGCCCTGTGCAATGAGGAGGCCATCAGCACACTTTGGTGCTCAGCAGCTGCAGCTGAGGCGAGGGCTCCAGCTCTACCATGGAACAGGGGAGAAAGGATGCAAATCCTTGAAGCAATACAAAAAGCTTCTGGGCAAAGTACACAGAGGTCTCTATGGATGGCAGACACTGCATTAGGGCAATATAATGAATGGAACAGCAGCTACTTTGCTCTTTCGTGTATTGAACAGCAGCCACAGGCTTTGCACTGTAGGAAAGGCAACACCAGAGACCCAGGCTTTACTTCAGAGGCTGACTGCCCTACCTGAATGCACAGTGCTTATAGAGCCCTCTCCTGACACCTAAAGTCAGAGTCCAAACAAGGAACTTTTTGAATATGCCACTGTCAGACCGCTTCTGGTTTGCTCTTCCCTAGGAGGACGTCGGCTTTGCAGCAGTGACGGGGTTTTTTACAGACACACACACAATATCACTAAATGTGTCAGTAAGTCAACTCTTAAAATGAAAAATAACAGCACTCGGTAAAAAACAGAGTCAGGACAGATGTGGCAGGTATTTAGGAAGAGCAAGACTGTAGGACGTGGCTTCTCTCCAAATCACAATGCACTGTCCCCGGTTCCTCTCCCGACAAAAGTAAAAGGAGGACTCTCGCCATCTCAGTTTGGGAAGAGCTGGCAATCTCAGCTGCATTATCGCAGCTCTTGGATTAATGCAAATATTGACTGATAGCATACCCAAGGACAGGAAGCCACTGAACTGCAAATTCAGAGCTTTGTTAGCTAGTCTGACTTCTTCACTTGACTACAAAGATATCACTCCGACTTAAAGGGATCCCTGGAAGAGATGCAGTGAATAGAGCTGTAATGCCTGACAATATAGACTGCACATAGAATGACAGAATGGTTAGGGTTAGAAGAGACCTTGAAGATCATCTAGTTCCAACCCCTCTGCTATGGGCAGGGACACCTTCCACTACACCAGGTTGCTCAAAGCCTCATCCAACCTGGCCTTGAACACTTCCAGGGATGAGGCACCCACAACTTCTCTGGGCAACCTGTTCCAATGCCTCACCACCATCACAGTGAAGAATTTCTTCCTTAGATCTAATTGAAATCTACTCTCTTTCAGTTTAAAGCCATTGCCCCTTGTCCTATCACTACATGCCCTTGCCAGAAGTCCCTCTCCAGCTTCCTTGCAGGCCCCCTTTAGGCTCTGGAAGGCTGCTAGAAGGTCTCCTTGGACCCTTCTGTTCTGTAGGCTGAGCAACTCCAACTCTCTCAGCCTGTCTTCATAGCAGAGGTGCTCCAGCCCTTGGATCATCTTCATGGTCCTCCTCTGGACCTGCTCCCACAGCCCTATGTCCTTCTTATGTTGGGGACTCCAGAGCTGAATGCAGCACTGCAGGGGAGGTCTCACAAGAGCAGAACAGAGGAACAGAATCCCCTCCCTTGACCTGCTGCCCATGCTGCTTTGGATGCAGCCCAGGATACGGTTGGCTTTCTGCGCTGCCAGCACACATTGCCGGCTCATGTTGAGCTTCTCATCAACCAACACCCCCAAGTCCTTCTCCTCAGGGCTGCTCTCAACCCATTCTCTGCCCAACTTGTATCAGTGCTTGGGATTGCCCCTATCCATGTGCAGGTTTCCTTCCTACTCATAACTGGGCATTGCTCACAAGAGTTAGCCAGTAATTTTGTTAAAAAGCTAAAATCAGCAGACAGTGCTCCAAATACACGTTCAGACACATTTTCTCAGAACACCAGTTTCTCACAGGTGCTTCAAAGACAACTGCATTTTAAAGAAATCCTGATCTTTAAAATTGGAAGAGCACACGAATTAAATACCATCTGCTTATGGGAAAGTCATCAGTCTTTTTCATTAAAAAGGGATCTCAAAACAGAGAGTAACAATACCCTGAAACAGGCAGGTATTTTCCACCCATGAAGGAATTTCATTCCAGGCTCTGTCTACACACAGATGTGCACAGATGTTTAATTAGTAGCTTAAGACAGAGAATTTTGGTGATAAATACCTCACTGAAATCAATGGGAATTAGACATTTAAACATCCTTGAGCATCCGGACATGATCTACTCAGTGAGAGCAGCATAATCTTGTCAGAGGGCTGGTTCAGGACTTCTGTGAATCAGTGCAACTTGTGGAGACATTTTACCAACTTAAGCCACACCAGAATAAGCCCACCACCAGCTGTGCATTTTACTTTAGCTACATTTTGCTTTTAACCTGATTTATGTCTGAAATTTCTACCCTCTCAGCCCCAATCTAAGCCCTCAGAGCCTCCCCACATTTCTCCCTCTTGTAGCCTCCCCTCAGCCAGCAAGTAGCCAGCCCCAGTCTTGGTAGGTGCCCAGCTTTTTTGCCAACCAGCTTTCCCTTCCTTTGCTGCTTCTGTCTAGGGAGATGACACTTAAGCATCAGTTGCAACCTGTTCCCCTTGGAACCAAAATACTCAAAAGCATTGTTCTTAAGATACTATTTTTACAAAAATGTCTCAGTGTTGCTTAAAAAAAATTAATTGAATTTATCTAGTTCTGCCCAATGACTGGAAAAGGGAGAGGATGCTGTGTCTCAAGGTACTGTTATCCTGATCAGTGCAAGTTACTCCTCAGTTGTCACGCAGGACTCTGAGCACACATACAGATCCGGATATTCCTTGAAAACATGGATTGCTTACAGTAGCGTGAATGCCTTAATTTGTGCTCTGCTGTACGTGTTTACAGCGTTATTTTATTTACGCCTCTCTTTTTCCCTTCCTCCTCTAGCGCTGAACACATGTAAAACACCCAAGAAAAGTAAAGCATCAGCCAACCCCTATAGCAAGCTGTACAGCGAGAGAGACAACGCCATCAAACACCACAGCACTATCGCAGGAACGTATAGAAAACACCCGTTCCCCCATGGGGAAGCTGGTGTGCAAGGACTTGGGGTGTGAGTGTTTGGACTCTAAGTACACATTGGGAAAAATGCCTTTGAGTGAAGGAGCATTATCCACTCGGCTTACGCAGGCGGTTGGCACAGGGATCGGGGTACAAGACCTTTCTCACCAGCAGCTTTGTGACAGTTTGGTGCCACGTACCAGGGCAATCTCCTGTCTCATCGGAGAGATGGGGAAATGCTGCAAGTTCTCAACTCCCAAACAGTGGTATTTAGAACTAGATTGTTGTCAGGGTTACTCTGATACGAGCTTGAAATTTGCCTGCCACATACACTATGCACAACATTTTGTTGGAATTTTTTTTTTTAATTTTGGTTAACATTCCTGCAGACTCACTGACTCAAGCAGACAGTCAGAACCCCAACCACGGATGTGAACACAGACAACTATTGATTACAACATACCTGTGTATGTTAGAAAGGTTTTTGCCCAGCTCTCTTTATGATTTTTTTTTTTTCCCAGCACAGGAAATGTTGTTTTGCAAAGACAAATTCCACATCCTAAGGATCACATCTGCTCTCCTTGACCTGTCTATGTGCATTGTAACCGTATCAAAACCAACAAGGCCACCCACACACAACTAAGTAATCTCTACTCTCGACTCTTCTGCCTCGTTAATGGAAAATTAATATACAGAAAGAAAAAATATGGTCACAAAGACTCATCTTACGTTTTCCATAATAAGCTCTGACAGGCAATACATATGCTTAGGGAGAACAGACACATACATATTCCCTACATAAACACAGGCAAAGGACAAAAAGAACAAACTAGCAGGTACCTCTCAGACAAAGTTCTATTTATTCGATTCAAAGATTTAATCCCTCAGATTTAGGAGGAAGCCCTTGGGTGACACAAGTCAGGTGTGACGGCTTTGAAGTCCTCCCTCTGTAAATAAAGCTTTCTGGCTGGGGCTCGCTTTTCCTTCCGCTTGAAGGAAGGGACTACAGAATTTGCTGCCCGTGAAGCTGGACTCCGTCAGTCACTGCCCAACACATTAATCCTGACGTGTTTAGCATTAGAGTCAGACAGCAGCAATGGTTTTAACGAGATCAAAGAAAAGAGTGGACTCACCAGCACACTTCCACCGGCCTTTGGCTGTCTCGCCAGGCTCACGCCCATCCATTCGTCATCTCGGTCTTCTCTGCAGGTCTTTCCGCAGAGCGTGCCCCGAGAATTGCCTACAGAAAGACAGGAAAGGCAGCAAGGCAAGGAGAAATGAGTTTTAAATACCCACCAAAGAATCACCAAAAGAAAAGAGATTGCCCATCAAGCATCTGCCTGACAGTGCTTTTTTCCTTTTCATCCTGATTATTAGTTCTCGTATGCATTAATTGGGGCGATGCTCTCACTCTTACTGGGCACAAAATACCTAGCAGAGGACAGATCCTGTCCCAAACAGTCAGTAGCTATTACAGCATGTCCACAGCTCTGCTTGAATAAACCCTCCAACTGAAGTCAATGGGAGAGATGTGAGTTTGCCTGCAGAATGCAACCAAAGCAAAAATTACTCTTGAAATTGAGATCTGGGGCACTTAAAAAAAATATATATATGTATTTGAGGCCTAAATCTTTAGTCCTGTCAGGCAGTATTCACGAATCCTTGAGAGACAGTTTCCATTACAGTAGCAGGACAAATTCAGCCAAAACACTTTATTAACACATGTGAGCTTCAAAAAATAAATTCTACTTGACTCAGTCATGAAAAGATGAACAATACTAACATGTCTATTAAATAGGCAGAGAAAGCAATAACACTGGTCACCAAGAAAACCAAAATATTAAAAGGCTTCGATTTTCTCCGTCAGAATCCAGCATAAGGTTTCAGATCAGAGCCTTACTTCAGGACTCCACCTTCCCCTGATTCAGACAGCACATCAGAGAAACCAAAGTCGATCCTGATCCCGTGCAACAGCTCTCACTGAGAAACTTACTTCCTTTAGCACAAGAAGCAAACCCAAGGAATGATTTGCTGCATTATGGAGGAACCCACAGATGGCCACGCTGTTAACAATGCCGCACATCACCGGCCACCACTGCACCACCTGGGGTGGTCCCACCCACCCTTATTTGGGCACTGCGGGCAGTGGGCAGCAGCACTCCCAACCACTCACGGACCCACTGACACCCTGCAAAGGCACACCGAAGCAGGTGGAGAAAACACAGAGGCTTAGGGTAAGCAGAGGAAAACCCACCCTCGCCTGGCTGCTCACTGGAGAGAGAGAGCAGAGCCACGGGGAGGACACCAGCACCAAGTGGGATGCTATTTCGTAATGCTGAAGAGAACATGACACCTTTGCCATCAGTGCTCAAAATCCATCAGGAGAGGTTGACAAATCCCTCTCAGTGTCTTGGGGCCTCTGTGAAGCTGTCAGGAGGATTTCTAGCCATTTGGGGTACGATTGCTATTTTTTTGGTTACCTGTTTGTACTCCCCAAGCATCATAAATACCCACCTCGACCCATATCCAGTTCTGTGCATCTTCTGTCTGGATTGGTATGGACTCGACATTTAAACACCGCTCCTGGGGACTGAACAGAGGTGCTGTATTTAGATTCTGCCTTGGGAGCACCAACCAAGACCCTGGAAACAAAAAAGCAAAGTAACAAGTAATTAGTTTCAGGAGAAAAGAAAAAATAAACAAACAAACAGCAGCAAGGTTTCCATTGCCAGAGCTCTTTCAGCAAAAGGACTTTCTCCAGCAACCTGGTAAATGATGACACTGACTCACAAACTGAAAACACTACACACAGTAAAGGCATTTTTCCCCCAGTGAAGCCTCAAATACTTTAACAAGTTAAATCTCCATTAGGCTTGTAACACATTTAAAGTACCACCACCACCCATCCCCACCCCATAAGCATTTAGGAAAGTATTAGGACGGACAACAGCAGCTGCATCCATTTTTCCTCAGTTTTAACTGCACCCCTATCAATCCAAGAGCCCACAAGAGCTCACACGCACATCCACGAGAGGATGAAATCTGAACCTGCCTGCTTGCCAGCCAGCCAAAGATTAATAAGCTTGCTTAGAAAGTTGAGGCACCCCATTCTCAGAACACTTGATGTAACTACAGCTTTAAAAGCAACAACAAAAACACCCAAACAACAACACAGGAGCAAGTCTCTTCCATAATGCGCTGCTATCCACCAACATTTATCCCGAAGGCTGTGAAGACTATACCTGGGCTATTTATACCACATGAGAGCCAGTGTCTCTGGGAAGCACCAATGCACAACCTCAGACCACAGGGTTCCTTAATGTACCCTTGAAAGATGATGAGCACGTTTTAATCACTTGTGTTATGATCCAGTTAACCTTTAGCAAGCTGGCAGCTGCTCAGGCGCTAAGGGATGCTTTTTGAGGAGGATTACAGGGTAAGCACAGCATTCAGGGAGCCCTTTTATCACCTCCTCATTAAAGGGACAATCTTTTTCTCACCTGGTTGTGAGCTCACATCTGGGTACATGAAGATGAGGAGGGAGGTTAAGGAGGAGGAAGGCAGCTCCAAGGAGGATAGTGGGGAGCACCAGGTAATTTAGTGTCAGTTCTGCTGCTGCCCTTGCACTGTGAGGCAGGGCAAAGCATCTGCATGTGACAAAATCCTCGCTGAAGTTAAACCCGGGGCTGGAACTAAGGGCAGTTTTCCCCATTTTAAACAACTTCTCCTTTATCCTCTAATTTAAAGTTCCATTCCCAACCACTACCCATCATCACCACCCCAGTACACACAGACAGACCCGAGGCACAAGGCGTGCACGTGTCCAGGGTTGGCCTGAGCCACCTGGAAGAGCTGCTCCTGTATCAGAGTCTGGTCTATAACAGACAGCAGCAATTCTCCACTCCTGCTGGGATACGCACTTCCCTGGATGAGGGATGTGACAAAACTGTCCTGTGGCACTGGGAAATACGTTTACAAAAGGAAGAGAAACTGCTACATTAAGTGATCGCTTTCTCCCAGGTTTCATGAGCTAAGCTGTATGACTCTGAGAACTCTAATGAGGTTGCACTCTGCAACGCACATCGTGTTTTCACAAGTGAGAAGAATTAATGTCCAAAATACTTAAGTTGCTAAAACCTACAAAGCCTGCACACATTGGCAAGCGAGCGCAAAGGAGCCTGAAATAATACCTCCAAATGGAAATCCCACTAGGCAGGCGGCAGGCAGAAAATCAAACGCCAATCATTTCATTTACACAGGCGATGAATGCATGTCATTCACTTATTGACATTCACGAGGTCCAACAAAAATAAATAAGGGGGGATATTACTAGGTTAAAGAGTTACGGGTTCAGATTGCAAATGGCAAGAAACCGCTTCTATGACCTGTTATAACAATAAGATAATGCAGGCCACATTGACCTCCAGCTGAAAAGCTTTGCTTTAACCTGAGAAAAGTCAATACGATTCAGCAATCAGGGCACAAGATACAATTAAGGTTGCAGAACGCAAGATGGAGATGAAGGAGCCTAAATCAGAGACTCTTGAGCTTTCTTTAAAAAGCTGAATGGGAAAAATTGATAATTAACGATTTGAGTAGATTACTGGCACAGATCATATTGCTGTCTTCAGCAAATATACCTTTCAAAAAGAAAACACCTGTTGCCGTTTCTTCACGTGGACCAAGCAGAAGGAAGCAGCCAGTGAAGACAACTGGTGACGTGCGCCAAAAGCAAATCTAATTTGGATTGTCCTGAGTGTCCATACGTTCTAATTTGATATTTCAACTACATCACACACAATGTCATCTTAGGATCTTGTCTCATTCTTTCACTCTTGCACCTAGACCCAGCAGGTGAAACCCTGGCAGATCTCTTGTTCTATCTGGCATGACCCATGCTCACCTGTGCCCTGAGACCGTTACCTTCAGGAAGATGGGAGGGTTTCTGTTGGTTCACATGCTTTTCAGTTTGTCAAGCTGGTATTTGCCACATACTCCTTGCTTTGGTTTTATTCAAAGGTTTGAGACTGGAATATTTCCTTTGTCAAGAAAAGAGCCCTTTACTCTTTCATTAGTCTCTGTATGTAACAGCTTAACTGTTGGAAGAAAGTCACCTATTTAACTGTCATGAGACTTTTCAGCAGACCCGGACAGAAGACTCACTTGCATTCAAATATTTTGGGACTCATCAAGCAAAACAAATGCCTGTTTTCAGTCTGCCCTACACATTAAAATACCTTTGAAATCTTTTGCAGTTTCTACAAACCAACTCTGCAACCAGAGGAGGTGTTTTTCTCCGGTACCATATCAAAACAGAAATACATTTCTAAACAAAGCTTTAGAGTCTACTACAGTCTTCTTGCCTTTCAGTGCTGTAGAGTCTTGCCTGGCGTAAACACAGACGACACATAAACAGCCAGCAGAAGTACAAGCCTGTCCTCTTGCTATTATCAGGCAACCCTCCAACATATTCCAACTAGTTTAAGCGGCTCTCATTTAAAATAGCCTAATTTTGCGGTACAGTTTTCCAGTGCTGCTATAGGACCGCTTGGGTTTTCAGCAAGCAAGCACCAGCAGTTCTCCAGCCTTTTGCCAAAACGCTTATGATGTGGGCAGTACACTGCAGAGTTTATCTAGGAGTGCAGGTTCTCATCACAACCATGACACTCTGCAGGAAGCCCCTAGGATATCTCTGAGTAGCTACACGAAGAAAGGGTCACTTTTGCTTGACGTGCACAGAAATCTCCAAGAATCTGCCACATCCTACTGGCTCTGTGCACAAAGTGTTGGGGTCTAAACCAACATGAGGAGCAGCAGGCAGAGAGAGACCACTTAACCTTCTCTTCTTGCATTCATACTCACGTAATCAAGGACAAACGCCCTCATCTGTGTGAAGACAACTACCCAGCTGCATGGCCAGAAACCAACACATTGCAGGAGCTGCAGCAGCAGCCAATATTAATGGATGACAAGAAGCTTTTTTGGCCACAGGGAAATCCACACCTCCTTAAAATTACTTCCTGCAGAACAGTAACTATCACTTCGCTGGTGATTGACCCTCGGGACATACAGATTTGGAAATTAAGCGCTGCATTTAGCAGAAGGAACAGCGAACGAAAGTGTCGAGCTGAACGATGGCATGGAGAGATGCCAAGCACATTAAGCATCGGCCTACAGCACGCCAGCAGCGATTAGGCAATCACAGCTCAAGGACTGGGGAGTGTAGGTACCTCACCTCACTGCAATGTTAAGTGGCAGAGAAAAAGTCTTTAAATATCCTCACATACCGCTGCTGATTTCAAAAGCAGCATGAGAGGAGGGTGCACCACCAGTATATCCCAGTTGAGTTTCTTCTCACCAGAAAGGTCTCTGTCATTGCTAAGCTCTCAAAATAAAATAAATAAAAAAAAATACAACCAAACAACAAAACAGTGGTTCATCCATTATGTGCAGAATGAGAAGTAGGAAGGCTGTTATTTGGGCAGCAGATCATAGAATCATAGAATGGTTTGGGTTGGAAAGGACCTCAAAGATCACCTAGTTCCTAGGGACACCCTCCACTACACCAGGTTGCCCAAAGCCTCATCCAACCTGGCCTTGAACACTTCCAGAGATGGGACATCCACAACTTCTCCAGGCAATCTGGTCCAGTGTTTCACCACCCTCATTGTAAAACATTTTCTTCCTTAAATCTAATCTAAATCTCCTGTCTTTCAGTTTAAAGCCATTGCTCCTTGTCCTTTCACTAAATGCCCTTGTATGGACAGAGATGGATGTGACCTGTGACCAACAACAGTAAGCCCAGGTTCCCCAAAACACCACAGCAGCACCTACAGCACCACTACATCATTTATGCAACACAGCATCATTAACACAACACCCAGCCTCCACGGGGTCAGTCCGCTCCCGCGTCTTCCTTCTGGTTGCACACAAGTACACCGTGCACCAACAACACGTATCCACCAGCGTCAGATGCAGAACAGCCTTCATGCTTCAGCAGCAGCGCAATCCAGTGAAGAGCAGGGCCAAAGGAATGAAGCAACAGCACAGAAACCAGACTTACTCCTCATTGTAAAACTCACAGCAGGGCACTATGCAACTAAACTGACTCTGTTACTTTTTTGCTCCACATAATCTTGCCAGAAAGCATAAAGGTGTTACCCTGGACTTGCTGAGGGATTTGGGGATGTCATCAAGAAAGTGACATAGGGAGAGAAAGAAGAGAGATAAAGTAACATCTTATTTTAAAAAAGAATGATCTGAGATATCACATTATTAATATTTTTTCACTGGGGTATAACTGACATTGTTTCTTTTAAAACTGTCTGAAGGAAAGCAAAGAAAGGAACATTCTTGGTCGTTTTCTGAGTCTTTACTCCAAGCTTCAAAATTATATCCAGAGAACAGAAGCACTTCGGCTTGTCTCTGCTCCAAATGCAAGCAGCCACCTGGCAATGACAGGGAACGGGGTAAATCTTTCAAGATTCATAACCATAAAACCGACAAAAGGAAGGAAGAGGAGACATTGTCAGAAATACAATAACCTCAGCACATCTGTGGTGACAAACTTTTCTTGAGACGAAAACTGAGCAAAAACAACTCCTAAATGGAAGCATCGTTGCATTTAACCATTTCAGACAAG